TAAAACGATGTAATCCTTGAACAAAATGCCGCCAAATAGAATAATTTACACGGGTAAATGAAAATAATTGTGTAGAGTAATGGAGAACGGGATTATTTTTAACAAAAAAAAATAATTTTGTTGTTCAAAGTACGAGTGCAGGAGTGAATATTTACAGTCATACCAAACACTGCATTATTACAGGGCAATGAAGCATTCGACTTTCACAAGAGGTTCTACAACATGCATAATCTCATCAGTAACTACACCGTTTTGACACACCTCATTAAACATGCAAAATGATAAAACTGTTACTTTTTTTTGACAACACATTCTTTGATTGTATGTATTCCTATGGCACCAATTTGCCCTAAATTACAAATATATAAACATGATAAACAAGTCTTTGATTTGTTATGAATCACATTTTACACTCAATGAAGACTAATTTACATTTATTAGATTAGGTTAATAATGCTTTAGTACCGTGTTGATATTTCTTTTTTTTTTCGTTGGAAACATTTAATAAATGTGTATCAATATGCTATGAACCGCAATAATGGTATGTTTCTGTATTTGTGTTTGTTTGTTTTGCAAGGACAAATGCACACAAATATATAATTTTTGGAACGATTATCTGTATGTTTTCCTTTTTTAAGGTTAATTCCTCTATAATGTCTGTAGTGAACTCTTAACGAAAACTTTCTGACAAAAAGGAAGTTTTAGCATTCCCTATTATGCATTTTCTTTTTGTGTAGGTAGTGGTTTTCTTTTGAGTCCATTTTAATTTGTTTGTGTATCCAAACTAGTTGGCTATGCCCTGTCTGTATTGACGTTTTACATGTTATCAATTTCAACGAACATTATCAATGTATTACTATTAACCTATTTACCTATTTAGTCAGTATTCATGTTAACACAAATAACGTAAAACATTTTCTATATTTTGTTATTGATACACACATTTGGTTTGGAAGTTAGGTTGTAATAAATTCTTTCAATAGTATGTATATCGGTACTAAGGTTTATTTTGATACTGATACAAACATAATTATAACATAACTAAATATGTATTTTTATACAGTTAATAACCCTTACAATCACACATCTGGTCGAAACTTAGGGTCATGTTTTCTCAGACGATTGATGAGTAATCCATTCGATGTCTGCTGAATCATATTTTATTTAGTACAGTTGATAGTTTTATTAACTGTCATAGACTTGCATTTAACTTTCCGTTAATAGGAGAGGTTTCAGTTCGGTTATCATTTTGTCATTATTTTTTCTTTGTATCAAGTCAAGCCGTTTTGAACTGATTTGTAAAGATTCAAGAGTAAACGTGTAATTGTTTTGTATGTTTCCAACCCTGGGTCTTTTACATTGGTTTAAAATTGACAAAAATACAGTATACGGTTTGGATGTGTATATGGTGTATATGGTGTCGGCAGTACGGTGACCTGTATAAGTTGCATTCTTTTGAACTTTATTGGAGAGTTGTATAATATGTAATCTGCAGACAACATCTTCTCATTTTCATATTTGATAATTTTCTTTTAAAAATCTTAAAAAGTTCATAATTTGAAATTGACCAATGACACAATTCCACTTATATAACGAACAAAAAACTACAAAAAAAAAAGATAACGAGACAAATTTGAAACAAAATAATCTAAGCAAAATGTTGCTGTCTTTGTGTTTCTATATTTTAAATGGTATCATTTGAAAGTGTCTATTAATAATAACCCGTCGCCCTCTCATATGATTTCCAATGTCTGTCTAATCATTAATAAATTAAAAAACATTCACATACATAACACAACCCAAAATAATTAAGCAATTCATTGAACAGGAAACTAGGATCTAATGCAGAAACACAATATCTAGCTGTGAAGGTTTAAATAAGGTGTTGGTAGTTTAGAAAAAATAGATGTGGTATGATAGCCAATGAGACAACTCTACACAACATGCGACTTTCATACAAGTGAGATGTTTAGCTATCTTTAAAACCAGGTTTTATCCACAATTTTCTACATAAGAAAATGCCTGTACCAAGTCAGGAATATGACAGTTGTTATCCATCCCATTGACGTGTTTGAGCTTTGATTATGCCATTTGATTAGGGACTTTCCTTTTTGAATTTTCCTCAGAGTTCAGTATTTTTAGGATTTTACTTTTACACATATTTATGACATTTAACAAGTCATTTTATTTCTATCTGATATTAGTCATTTTAAAATCATTAATGAAAAAGTTTTCGTCAAAGAAATTGAGTCATATCATAAGCAAAAGGAATGAAGAGTCTTCAGATATGTACAGTACATTGAAATCTATAGTCACTTTTATTATATTTCCAGGTCAAATAAAAGAGCAAAGAAAGTAGTCACCTGCTGTGCATTCTTCGAAATGAAAAATGGAACTTGCACAGGTATTTATTTTAGACAAAATTACAACTTCAGGCTGCCTGATTACCCTAACTGGCACAAAAAGACGCAACATACGGTCTCCACTAACAGAAAAATGGGTATACATTTACAGCATTAAATATAAAATAAAGAATCGATTCCGGTCTTGAAAGATGAACTCAGATTTAGGTAAATCCTAATCAACGCCCTAAAGGACAACCCATTAAGATATCAAAGGACAAGCATAAGGCTTTTCAATTTGGACAGGCATATACTTATATAGCTGTGGTGAAATACATTTTTAACATTCAACCCTTTTCCTTAATATGATGATATCTTACGGAGAATCTGCAATAGTTATCAGTCCACGACAGACTGTGTTTGACTTACTTTGAATACAGAGCATTCCAGTATGCTCGGGTATTCGACTAAGCCTGTAACTAGGAACTAATTAACGTTCGATCAATAATAAATCGTGGCAATGCAGGGCATACAGCTAAGTTTTTTCGTCTTGTTTTAAATCTTCGTCTAATTAAGTAACTTTAAAAGGTCAAAAATATATCAAAAAAAGAAACAGTAATACATGTACACCACTGTTCAATACATGTGAATAGTCATAATATGATTAGGCGAAAACAAATTCGGGTTACAAACTAAACCACGTCCACTTGTTTTTTTTGTCCATCGGATGAGTTAAGCCTTTTTCAACTGATTTGTATAGTTCGTTCTTATGTTGTACTGTTATACCACTGTCCCAGGTTAGGGGGAGGGTTGGGATCCCGCTAACATGTTTAACCCCGCCACATTCTGTATGTATGTGCCTGTCCCAAGTCAGGAACCTGTAATTCAGTGGTTGTCGTTTGTTATGTGTCACATATTTGTTTTTCGTTCATTTTTTGTACATAAATAAGGCCGTTAGTTTTCTCGTTTGAATTATTTTACATTGTCATTTCGGGGCCTTTTATAGCTGACTGTGCGGTATGGGCTTTGCTCAATATTGAAGGCCGTACGGTGAACTATAGTTGTTAATTTCTGTGTCATTTTGGTCTCTTGTGGAGAGTTGTCTCATTGGCAATCATACCACATCTTCTTTTTTTATAAACCTAGGAAACACACCAACCTTAAGAATAAAAACAAAGGAACAACATAAACTCTAAACTGCTACAAAAGCAAACACCAACATACATGGAAACGGCTAATAAACAGTTTTGGTGGTGTTAATTCTTCTCTTGAAGTATGATATAAAACTGTGGATTTTCTTTCCATACTTTGAATATCAACAAAACGGCTACGGCACCCGGTTGTTGGTGGGGTTCGTGTTTCTTAGTCTTTAGTTTTCTATGTTGTGTCTTGTGTACTATTATTTGTCTGTTTGTCTTTTAATTTTTAGCCATGGCGTTGTCAGTTTATTTTCAATGTATGAGTTTGACTGTCCCTCTGGTATCTTTCGCTCCTCGTTTGGAAACAAGAGACGATGAAGTTGAACTGAAAATTTTACATTCGTTTGACAATACTTATAACGAAAAGTTATTTACTGAATCTAGATATACTTCTAGCTATGAGAAAGTAAACGTAGTGAATCGTTTTAGTATAGCTTAATATATTAAACACTTAATAGATTTTAAAAAGATATGCCATCTTGTTTGTCACCCAAACAAAGTTTTGTACATATCTTGAACCGAACTGTTCCTATTTAAAGCTAGTGGTCTTTAAAATACGGAAGGATTTAGTCGAGGATTATGCCAGGCAATTTGTTGAACGCGAGCAAGAAGACAAAGATACTATTTTTGAATTTATGAAGGCGGTTAGGTCTTAAACACAAACTAAAAAAAAATCAATGAATCTATGCATATACATGCTATATCAATGTTGTCCTCGCACATAGTCCAAGACGACTTCGTTTTGGAGTGTAAATCTTGAAGAACTGGATCTTTATTGGCCATGGATACCTACATTTAAATTAAATAAGTTTGCTTACAAACAATTTTATATTGCTGGGTCTTTCATGTGCTTCAGAAAACCACTCTCTAAATTTTTAACATAAATGCTATCAGCATTCAAAGTTGGGATCCGACCTTATTCAAAAAGTATGTTTACAGAAGGTTTGTTTTCGTTCGCCAGCAAATATTCTCTGGTTGACAGAATCAACTAAGATTTGATATTTTCTAAATTTCATTTTTTATACGAGTTCCGCATGTACAGCAGTATCAGATTATCATGCTTATCATGTGATCATTATCGGTTATCGGTTGATTAGTGTTTACATTGCGATGTAGTGAATGGTAGACCGTTCTTTTTCTTTTCGTTGATTTTTGTTAATACGGCGTCAGTTTCCTCCCGATTAATACGTTTTGGATAGCCCTTGAATATATTGATTCTAACACGCGGCTTCGAAATGAAGGTTCATTTCATTAAGATGAATATGCCTTAAAGTTTGACATAGTGTTTATTTGTATTGATAAGTCTAGTATTTTATGATGTTTTGCAAGTAAACATTATTACGCATTTGATCCTGATTTGTACGAACAATAAAAGAACCCGCCCAAACAAAAACAAAAAAAAATACAAAACGTATTAAAAGATGTTTACTATTTATTCAAATACTTTTTAGTATGCGAAGACGGTTTTTTTTCAAAACAAGGAGATAGCTGTCGGTCGTGCAAGGGAAACTTATATGGTAGGAGATGTCTTAATGTATGCATATGCACAGAAAATCAAATGTAAGTATAACAAATGTATTCACTAAAGTGTATTATATTTTATTTTTTCTTTATTTTCTTTATTTTCCATGGATAATGAGTTGGGCACACTGCTGGTGGATGTTTCGTCTCCGAGGGTATCACCAGCCCAGTAGTCAGCACTTCGGTGTTGACATCAATTATATGGTCATTATTTATCAATTTCCTGTTTACAAAATTATGAATTTTTCGAAATACTAAGGATTTTCTTATCCCAGGCATAGATTACCGTAGCTGTATTTGGCAAACCTTTTTTGGAATTATGGGTCCTCAATACTCTTCAAGTTTGTACTTGTTTGGCTTTATATAGATATAGGAAGATGTGGTATGAGTGCCAATGAGACAACTCTCCATCCAAGTATCAATTTATAAAAGTAAACCATTATAGGTCAAGGTATATAACTAATTTAATCTGAGCGTCACTGATGAGTCTTATGTAGACGAAACGCGCGTCTGGCGTCTTAAACTATAAGACTGGTATCTTTGATAATTATTAGAACATGTCAAGGTTTCTTTTTTTATTTAATTTTTTTATTAAAAATTTGAACGGCTGTCGTCTCCAGATCGTTTGGAATATGTATTTTGTATGGGGTTAGGGAGGTGTTTTATTTTTATTTTAATATACGGTTTGAGTTATGTTATGCATGTATACATTAAGTTTTTTATGGAAGAGATTTGGTGAACATACAATATTTTTAACAAAAGCAAAAAAAAAATACGTAAAAAAATAATGGGAAAGATAGCCCTGCTAGAATAAGGGGAGCTTTCAGTAAAGAATTGGAAACATGTATGTGAACAAATTGAATCATAACCTTGTACACTACAGATTTCACTCAGTATATACAAACATGTGCATCTGGAAAAGTTGGAGAGCATGGCTGGACCTAGAGAAAAAAATATAATTTCTTTTTAAGTTGCAGTAAATTAAAAACTCAACTAGATTTTGTTAGTTATTTTTTTTTCGTTCCTGCAGAAGGTGCTAAAATGAACTAAGTTGAGAAAGATGTATATTATAAATATTGTGAGTTGTATTAATTTAAATGGACAATGAATGGACAAAAGACATCTGTCAACAATATGTGATTTAAACGGTGTAACTAATTGGACGTATCAAAATAAACTCACGTGCTTGTTTATTTTACTATCTCCTGCAGACTGGTAAAACATTTTCATTTTCTGAATCATAAACTTCATATACTTTTATACATCTAGGTCTTGTCATACCATACAACTTACCTAGATGCATCAGTTTGTTTCTACTCATAGTATATTTTGTTGACGAAACGCGCGTCTTGTGTATCAAATTATAAGCCTGGTACCTTTGATAACTATTGTGGTGAAAAAGCGGCTATATTTTTCAGTTCCTTTTGATCAACCTTAAACAACCCCTAGTACAAATAGTTTAAAAACATGTGTGTTGGTTGTCGGTGTGTTTGGTTTGTCAATTTCTTTTCAATGAGTAACCTTTGTTCATTTATAACTAATTTGTTTACAAGTGTAGTTCTATATAACATTATGAGTTAAAAAGATAATTTCCTTGAATATTCCATTATCTTTGATTTTGATATTTAATTTATTTATGGGGAAGTGCTTGAGGTTTATGGTCCTTTCTACAGCTATGTGAATTACGAAAATTTCAAAATGCAATAGTAATAAAACAGCAAAGATAATGAATATAGAGGGGTCATTTTGTACATATACCAAGAAGAAACTTCGTGCAAAGCATTCTTAATAATGGTTTCGTTACATTAAACAGAAAAAGAGGATTTTGTGGCAAATACAACCAAGCTTTTTGTAAAAAATTCAGACTGAAATTCACAGCTTTTTTGTGATTACATTTTTAAAATAGATTACTCACTAGTTTTTATACATGTTATATGCTGTGCTAAAGTTTATGGTTTACAAAACCTCCTAAACAATCATTTAATTCCACAAAAACCAAGTGCTGAGTCACTAAAGTCGAACGCACCCTAGAAGGTGTACAAAAAATGTACTCGAATTGGTAAATATTTATTTGTGTTTTAACCAATATATACATTTATAAACTTGTTTAAAGGAAATCATTGCTAGCACTGCATGCAATAATCCTCTATCTATCTAGCACCGAACTGTCAAATATGATAATACAAGGGAAAAGCTGTGGATTTTCTGTAAAATTTCCATATCTTTAGCATTGAATCAACTCAAGGGTACACAATCTTTATGAAGGTGACAAAAACATTAAGATGCTCCTTTCGCTATGCTGTTGAAAAAAGGCAATGTTTTATGAAGATAAAATTGACAAATCGATAAATCTAAAACATGCTTGTGAATAAGCTTATAATTGCCAGTTTATTTATATGGTACAGCTAGCTAGATTTCTTTTATCATTATGAAAGTGTTTTGTATTGACAGATCATGTGAAGCTACGAACGGGGTTATATTACTTTTTGTTTCCCGTATTTGTGCTCGTAATTGTGCAATGCTATAGCATTGCTCTTGCTCGATTCACACCGTCTTTTAATAATAAAAACGGATATATTCCTTGTGAAAGATATGTTTTTAATTCTTTTAACCTTATTTTCCTGAGGTCCGCGTCAATACAATGTTCATATATGCTAGCTACACAGAACGGACTATTCCTGTATTTGCGTGATAGTTGACAGGAATCAATATTTAGAAGTTGGCAGGTGTCCGCTTATTTTGTTGTTATATTCAAAATTGGACTTATTGATTCTTGAATAACATCGTAAATTGAATGGACGTGGTAAAATTAGTCTTAAATACCGTGGAAGCTTTTCAAAGCGTTTAACGGATTTACTCCCAAAACGAAAAGCAGTCGCCAAGAACCCTTTTCCATTTAAGTCCAAAAACATCAATTAACCATTTCATATAATACAGTTTATAAAATAAGCCACTACTGTAATCGCATAAACTTGTTCTTCTTAGTATTCACCGCTGTCCTGTTTTTGAAATTGGTCAAAAAATAAAATGTATTATCTTCAATGTTAATTTTCAACACTCTAATTGTAAATTCTGTTTTTAATCTTTTATCGACAATTCAACGATTCTGCCGCCATAAGTTCAAATGATATTGTTCTCAGTTCGTTTGGAATATTAGAATATAAGCGTGTAGCATGCAGTATTGTTCTAGCGGCCTATTACGAGATATATATATATATATATGGCAGTCAGCAGGGTTGTTCGACCTGTTAGTCAAATGCGTTTTGTTAAAATATACTTTTCCACTCTTTTGGTCTTTCGGAAAATGTTGTTTGTGCTGTATTTAGACCCCTCTAACAAGAAATTTGTTTTGCATGCACACGTATAAAATTGCAGTTTTTATCCAACGCAATCATAGGTTTGAACGTTGTTTTCAATTTAGACCTGGTTGTATATATATATATATATATGGGGTGGGTTAATTTTCATATATTGTATTAGGCCACTAGAACTTTCTGTAACTAATAATATCTGGTATGTGTCGCATAAAATTCATATCACCCCAAAAATGTTCCAATTGTTGTAGCTACAGTCAATTCCTTCACCTTTTCCCCAAATGTGACTAATTACAATCGGATTTGTACTCACATGAGCAATTCGACGGGTGTCATGTGTTGAGAAGGATTTGCTTACCCACCTTGAGTGATCAAGTTTGTGATGGGGTTCGGGTTCCTGTGTTGATCAGTCCTTAGCTTTTTATTTTATTTCTACTGTTGTGTGTCTGTTTGTCTGTTTGTCTGTTGGTCTTTTTCTTTTTTTTTTACCTATGGCGTTGTCAGTTTATTTCCGACCTATGAGTCTGAATGTCCCTTTAGTAATCTTTGCCTCTCTTTAACGTTACATGGTATAAATTAATGAAGGGACACATGTGTTTAAGGGTTAATTACATAATCTATGTGTTACAATAGACTATAAAAACTTGTATTTGCTGATGATACACTTAGACAGAACTTTTTTGGATTAAGCAAGGACTGGTTGATCCACAGTCAAAATAATATTGATATGACTTAAACAGACAGAGGAATCCGATGTTCAACAGTTGTCGTTTGTTGATGTGGTTCATAAGTGTTTCTCGTTTCTCGTTTTTTGTATAGATTAGACCGTTGGTTTTCCCGTTTTGATAGTTTAACACTAGTAATTTTTGGAATCCTTTATAGCTTACTTATAGCCTAGGTGTGAGCCTAGGATCCGTGTTGAAGACCATACTTTGACCTGTAAAGATTTACTTCTATAAATTGTGACTTGAATGGAGAGTTGTCTCATTGGCGCTCTGAAATACACATCAGACGATATATAATAACTGTCATGTTTCTGACTTGGTACAGTAATTTTCTTATGTGGAAAATGGTGGATTAAACCTGGCTTTATAGCTAGCTAAACCTCTCACTTGTATGACAGTATTATCAATTTTATAATATTAACAACAATGTGTGAATAAAACAAACAGACACAATAGGTAAAAAAAAATAGGTATAGCAGACAACATTGTGTTATAATGTTAATCACTATGAAAACAAACAAATATGTAACAAAGAAACACCAAAAGGCACATAAACAAAGCACATAAGCAAAAATGAAAGACAAGAATACAAAAATTTACCATAACACAATGACGTGATGTACAAGAACAAAGCTACATGTACGTCATATGTAAGAAAAAAACACAAAAAGGAACATATAGACAAATCACCTTTAATAGCAAAAATGAAAGACAAGAATAATTTTTTTTTATCATGACACAATAACACTATGACGATATGTAAAAGTACAGAGCCACGTCATATGTAACAAAGAAACACACAAATGGGCATACAGACAAAGCACATTAGCAATAATGAAAGAAAAGAATACACAAATTTACCATAACAAATAACACAATGACGGGATACTTAAATACAGAGCCTCGTCAAATGAATATCACCAAATGACTAAATAGAATAAGACTAAACAGTTAAAGTAATATTCAAAAAGACAAACAATTAAAATACTATAACACGTGATTAAGATTATAAACAACGTCAGTACACATAATGTATACTTTAAGACCATCATGTATTATTTGTGAAGTTGATACGAAATATCTATCAACAAGGTATTGGTATCTTCCGACAGACTTGCAAATTATCCGATTTTAATTGGCTAACAGTTCAAAGGATGAAGTGTTAAAGGAAAATATCAAACGACCTGCCCTAGATTGTCGAACAAAAACTGAAGCTGATTTAAATCACATTCAAGTAACCATTTAGGGTTAATTTGTATTCGTACAAATAACTACTCGATAATATCGAATGTCACTTCTCGAATATTATTGTACTTTTACAATTTTAACCTTTTATTTTGATAGATTGCGTTCTTTGATATACATGTTAATCGGACTATCTCGAATAGACTTTATTTACCATTTGAATGCAAAAAACAGGGCCATGGTGTCAAGGACACCCATAATATCAGGAAATTTGTGTTTATAGGTACTATTTTCTTAATTTTGACTGACCAGTTTTTTATATGGTCAGTGATCAAGAATTGCAATTAATTAGAAATCAAACTCAAGTAAATTAACTTCAATACTGGCTCAAATTTTATCTCGAACTCTACTTGAAATGTGATTCGAACCACTAGTTGAACTTGCTACTGAACTTCCTTTTAAGTCTAAGTCAAACTTGAGCATGACCCGAACTCCAAATGTTACTCTAGCTTGATTGGAATCCAAAGTCTTAAAGTAATCGATGTTTTCCTACTTGGACTTTATTGTTTTTTTTAATTTTGACAGTTTTACTTTTTTGTTACCGCAGCGGATTGGGTACACATAAAAACTCTCGAAATATCGTTTCTTATTTGCAATGATACATGACAATATGTTATTTACAGGAATTGTATAATTACACAAAATGTATGTTTATTGTGCATGTATCAAGCATTACAAAGTAAACACATGTGTAAAACAAATATTAACGAATTGCTGTATTGTATTCTCTACTGTAACATGTGTAAAGCATATGAGTGATGTGTGTGCTTCACTCTTTAGAACGTAACATAGTGTACAGGAAATGCTCATACACTTAAAATTTTTAAATCATGAGAAGAAAGTTATAATTTTTCAATATATTTTGTAATTAAGAAAAAAAGAAAGAAGGGGAAACACTAGATTTTTTATATTTTTTTTTAATTTGTTTTAATATGCATTTAATAAAAAAAAATATATCAAGTTAAACAATGTATGTATGTTTATTTTTAAATAGATGTGACCATATTAATGGATGCTTAAGTTTGCCATCTTCAAGTGTCAACACGATTGTTGAAGGTTTGTTAATATATCAAAGTCTTTCTTCTAATCAAATTAATGTCATTATTAATATTACTTTGATTATAAATTTCTGGCTGTAACTCAGACTTATCAAGAGAAAGAGTTAAAATGGAATGCTAAGCGATTCTTTGTCTTCTCTTATCATGTTAACATAATATTATTTTACCATCGTGCAAATCGTACAACGAGACACCAAAAATAAATCAAAAGCAAAAAACATAAACATCTGAAAGCCATCGTTTGCGATTTCAATATTTTACCTTTCCTTCTCGTTAGCAATCTCTTACATACGCAATTTTAACCTTATATAGTTTGTTTCTGTTAAATCGGATTTAGTTTTGATAATATCAAAGTTTTTATTTACCTACAACATTGTACGAGTGTGGGTAATTGTGACTTGGATGGAGAGTTGTCTCATTGGCACTCATACCACATCTCCTTATATCTATTGAAAAAAAATGTATGAAGGTTGCCTTTATACTTCATAAATAATCTGTACTGATTTGATCAGTCCTGACACCCTTCGGTTTGTTATGCCATTTTCCGTATAATATGCCTGTCCCATGTTCGGAGCCTGTAATTCAGTGGTTTGTGGTTGTAAATGTTTACCGTATTTGTTTGAATCGTTCTACATTTTATAATTTAAGGCCTTTTACAGTTAACTTTACGGTATAGGTTTTGCTAATTGTTGAAGGCCGTACTGTGAACTAAAGTTGGTAACGTCTATGTCATTTTGTCTCTGGTGGAGAGGTGTTTGATAGTTACAATCATAACACACATAGATCTTCTTATGTTATATCATCTATAATTTGTTCATATTAAAATTTGCTGTTTTATTATTCGTTATCAAGTCTGAAAATTGAAATCATTGGTTAGAAACACCTTCCAGTTTATTGAAAATTACCCTTAGCGTGAAATCATAGTTTTCGTCATACTGATTTAAAAAATATATGGTTTCTATATCATTTTTCCTACAGAGATAATTGGCTTCTTTCGGTCAAAAAAAATGTTACTTCGGGTCTCAAATGACAGTATTGTTCACACTGATTCTAAATATACATGGTTTCTTTGGACCTTTTTTTAAACAAAGGGAGATAATTTGCTCATTTTGGTTTACACACGGTCACTTCTGGTTTCCATTAATAAGTTTAAGCATCTCGATTGAAAAATATATGGTCTAAAGGTATATTACACGAAAGAAGTGAAAAAGGATACTTCTGGTTGACATGTTTTAAGGTCATATGCCTTCAAATACAATGCAAAACACACTTGGGCTTTGCAAAGCCCTGATGATAGATGTTTGTCTGTGCGGTCATTTTCTAAAACTTCCAGTCAGTGTAATTAATTCTCATTTAATATACATTTAAGAAAATGTATTTAAATTCAGGAAAGTTGACATCATTCTTTTAAACTGAGTTATTAAGACGGAATAAAAATAGTAATTACGATAGGAAACATACTCGAATGTTATCTTTGGTATATCAGTTTGTTTATTGACAGTTCAATCGAGGATATTCCTATTTTAAAGATCAGTATGTACCTATCATTTATAATACATATACCGAACTAATTGTAACTAAATAGTCTTAACATGCAGGATCTTCATAACAATGACTTATCTATCAAGTCTAAACCTCATGAATATTCCTGTGCTAGTTCCCTAATTATATGTAAACCGACAAGCCACATTATTATGGATGACCTAAAATAGAAATTCAAAATGTGTTATCCGAAGGCCGAAAGTATCCACTACAAACCAGTAAAAGTCTGAAATGGCCTATATCTGTACTCGACTGTACTGATTTTTACTCGACTAGTCTGAATTGGTCTAAAATTTACTTGATAATACTTGACTGTAGTCTGAACCATACTTAATACTAGTAGTCTAAACTTGTACTTGACCAGTACTAAAAAATTTAAATGCGTCTGAACCATGATCGACCTAGTCTAAACCATACTCGACCTAATCTGAACAATACTCGACCTAGTCTGAACCATACTTGACCTAGTCTTAACTAACCTAGACCTATTTTTTGTATCTATCTATTGTATTTGATCAATATAGGAAATGATTTTAACAGCTTTTCTTCCTGTTTAGAAATTTCAACAATGAATTGAAATTAAAAATGTATTCAATATAGCATTTAAACCAAATTTTCAAGGTAAACATAGATATAATTGCAACACAAAATTCATCAACATTTACATGACTTACATATATATATCACATTTGAATTAAAATTAAATCAAGCTGATCAAATTATCTCAAAACTGAATTGCAACTAATATTTTCAAAGTTATTAATTTTTTTTAATATTTCAGACATGTTTTATGGTCACTGGACAATTTTCATCATTTAAACTTAAAACCTAGATTTATGATATCAGTTGAATTTAGTTAATGATGAAGTGAACTTTTTTTTAATAAAATATATATAAAATAGTATATAAAGCAAATTTAAAACATGACACCTTTGTTTTATCAAAACCAAGAAACTTATATAATAGTGATAATGGAACTTCCATAGCAATCCTTGATAACCTTTTAAAAAAGGAAATGTGATCCAAAATTGCAGTATAAATTTATTTATTTCAATCAAATTTAAATAATTTTTGTCAAAACTAAAGACATGGCATACAAGCACTTTAATCAGGTTAAATTACCTCAGTACAAGTGTGTTTTACAGGTAAAAAGAAAGCACTATTTTTCTTAAACTCGTGTATTACCTATCTTGTGAATTCAAAAGGCCTTGCGATTTAAGTTTAACAGGATGTTGCAATTTTGGATGAATGTTATTTTGAATTTAATACTCTTTGACCAGGTGTGAACTGTTTAATGAGTTTGCCCCAAGCAGGAGGTATTAATTTATACTTCACCACTAAACAGAAGAACAATTTTAACAATTTCTTTAAATTCTTATTCTTCTTTCAATTTGATATGTATTATATATACTTTATCCCAAATTATAATTATAGATATTTTTCTAATAAAAGGTTATACAATTTAAGTGATTTTGTTGGCTGTTGTTGCCTCATTAAAATATAATTATATAATCATTGTATGTAACCATGAAACCTACGTTGTTTTTATTAAGGAATATAGGAAAATTAAGATTAAAAAAAAACATGCCAAACAAGAAGCAACTTAATATAGTATAGGTGTGGTTTTTAGGTAAAAGAAAATCTTTTTTTTTTTTTAACAAAACTCTAAAATTTTAGGCGTTTATATAATTTATTTATTGTGTACATGTATCGTTACTCGTAACGATCCAGCGCCCTCGTGGGAAAAATCGTTGACTATTATTCAGACGTTTTATATATATATATATATATATATATATATATATATATATATAAGACCAAAAAAGTGAAAAAGTATATTTTAACAAAACGCATTTGACTAACAGGTCGAACAACAAATGTTCTTAAACCCTGCTGACTGCCATTGGCGATTGCCAAAAAAACGGATCACCGATGCAATAAATGGATCTTAATTATAAATTTCATACTAAACAGAAAACAATAAACTTGCGGAAAAGATGATATACCGCAAACAAAAGGTGCAAAGGTTTTGCCGAAATCCGGATATGGTGTACAAAAACCTTTGCACCTTTTGTTTGCGGTATATCATCTTTTCCGCAAGTTTATTGTTTTCTGTTTAGTATGAAATTTATAATTAAGATCCATTTATTGCATCGGTGATCCGTTTTTTTGGCAATCGCCAATGGCAGTCAGCAGGGTTTAAGAACATTTGTTGTTCGACCTGTTAGTCAAATGCGTTTTGTTAAAATATACTTTTTCACTTTTTTGGTCTTTTGGAAAATGTTGTTTGTGCTGTATTTAGACCCCTCTAACAAGAAATTTGTTTTGCATGCACACGTATAAAAATTGCGGTTTTTATCCAACGCAATCATAGGTTTGAACGTCGTTTTCAATTTAGACTTGTTTATATTTTTTCGTCTGGGCTTGAATTATATTTGCCTTCGGGTTTATATGATCCGTTCATCCTATTTCGACTCTTTCAAAATTCAAGAGTCTATCCTAAATTGAGGTAAATTATATGGCCTTCCAAATACCGTTTCGATTCCTAACATCACTGAAGAGACATTAATTGTCGAAATCCGGATATGGTGTACAAAAACCTTTGCATCTTTTGTTTGCGGTATATCATCTTTTCCGCAAGTTTATTGTTTTCTGTTTAGTATGAAATTTATAATTAAGATCCATTTATTGCATCGGTGATCCATTTTTTTGGCAATCGCCAATGGCAGTCAGCAGGGTTTAAGAACATTTGTTGTTCGACCTGTTAGTCAAATGCGTTTTGTTAAAATATACTTTTTCACTTTTTTGGTCTTTTGGAAAATGTTGTTTGTGCTGTATTTAGACCCCTCTAACAAGAAATTTGTTTTGCATGCACACGTATAAAAATTGCGGTTTTTATCCAACGCAATCATAGGTTTGAACGTCGTTTTCAATTTAGACTTGTATATATATACAAGTCTAAATTGAAAACATATATATATATATATATATATATATATTTTATTGTGACTGTTTAATGTCAGTTAAACAGAAAATTATTTTAACATTTAAAATTACAAAAAAAAGTAGAGGTTATTTGGTCAAGTATGGTTCAGACTGGTCGAGTATGATTAAGACTGAAAAATACAGGTCGAGAACGGGTTTAGACTGTTTCAGACTGGTCGAGTAATAGTTCAGACTTTTTGCAATGGCAAAGATAAGGGTCAAGTACAAATCAGTACAGTCGAGTATGGTTAAGACTGGGGTCGAGTAATGTCGAGTAAAATTCAGACCAATTCAGACTGGTCGAGTAAAAATCAGTACAGTAGAGTACAGATATAGGCCATTTCAGACTTTTACTGATTTATAGGGATCGTGAGCCCAAATCAATCAATTGAAAACACAACTTCAAAATATTGGTGAATTTAGTCAAAGATTAGACCAGGCAATGAATTGAACGATAAAGAAGAAATAGATACGTTATCTTAAACTTTATGTCAAAGAGTCTCTCAAAGCATTTTTTAAGTATTTAGTGTCGAGTTGATATCAAATTGCATACTCGGTATTGATAAAAAATATTCCTTAATTCACTCCTTAAAGAAACCAATTATATTTGATTAAAAATATTATCCCGATATAATAATTACGTAATCTATACTCTGTTGAAACATAATATGATTACAAATGGTTAATTTCAAACAAAAATTAAATGTTTTAAACGGATTGATATATTACAAGAGTCTTACATGGCATTTTGTTTATCGGTCAAGATGTTTTCCATGACCCTCTTATTTCCAGATCTCGGGTTTAAACCCTCAGTATATTTGACTCGCATGATTCGGATGTCTTGTCCCATAAATACATTTCCTTTTGCAACACATCAAACAATGGGACAACACATATAGTATTCTTAGGTTGCTATTTTGTTTACTTTGATAGGCAGCACAGGTCTGTATCCATGGATATCATCTTCAGGTACAGCGTTGCAGGAAATAGAATACAATGAACCTAAGCATGGTAATTTTAAATCCTCGAAAATACATAAATATGTTGCAATAAAATATTTCGCTTGCCAATTATTTCAAGACTGAAAAGATAGCAATCATAATTTCAAACTCATATTGTAAACGTCGATACTATGTACATGTCAACTGAACACACAAGATTGATCCGTTCATATGGTTAAACGACATAAAAGTAAACAATGGCATTTTTTGCACAGAAATCCTAATATTGAACAGCACAATCCGTACAGAAGTACTACCGAAGGTTTTCGTATGGAAGCATACAGTTGTTCATGTCTTTTTTTAAACAAAATATCAAAGAAATTTTAGAATTTTGATAACGCATTTCATGCTAGAAGTAAAGGCCAACTTTTTCAGTCTTAATTATGGTAGCTAATTAGGAGGCAGGAAACACATCTAACATTGAACTACAAATGTATATATATAATATTTATGCATGTGTATTTGCAGCTAAGCAAGTAGAAAAGTTGAAAATCTAGCCACACTATCTGGCCATTTACATAAAAAAATCTTATAATTCTAACAAATAATATTACATACTTTTGAATACAAACATGCTCGTAGATTGACCTTGTAAATACTACATACACCATATCAACAAAGTTAAACGTAATGTCTCTATTACACAACACTGAACAAGAATCGTTACAGCTAAAACATTGGCAAATTACTAATGGATATTTCTGTGATATTCTGGTGATGATCGAGTTTTGTCATCGGTTCAAACAACAACAATCAATGTCATCCAAAAGTCATTCAACCAAGATGTAAAAAGGACATGACTGTTTACTGTATGTCCATCGAATTTCTGCTCAGTAGCTGTGTAATATACTTCTTCAAGATCATTGCACGCTATTTATTTATTTCTGTTGCTGTTTTGTAGGGTCAGGTGGTCCATTTGATCCAGCCATAACGATATATTCTGTATGCACAGCGTGTTTTTTGGTTGTCATCGCGATATCTTTCATTTCTTTCAAACTTCTACAAAGGAGTAGGACTAAACAAATAAATGACTGTAACAGACAGCAAAACGAGTTGCAGAATGAACCAAATCTAATCTTGAATATACAGGAAAACATGGCGAGTCTTGAAAGTATTTACCATGAAATTGACTAAGTTATATTCTACTTTAATTTATTTAAACGAAACTAACATTTGAAATTGATTTAGCTGAGAAGAAAATTTTGAGATTGAATAGTAAAGTATAAAGAATGCGGACTATTATATTTCTTACCATCCAATCGTTAACGATGTATAAAAGCGCAATTATTAAGGTTCACGGGTAGTAACCTCGTCATATCGAGAAGCGTTTAATAAAACATGCTACATAGAGGAACAAGTGACCAGTATGCTGGAGTTTCTTATTGACAAAATATTTGTTGAATTTGGAGGTAGACTTTGTCACCAAATTGTCGGTTTTTCTATGGGAGCGAACTGTGCGGCAGCGACATCTTCTTATCTTCATATTAGTCGGAGTTCCTTCAGACATTTGTCAAAAACAAGAAGATCAAAGAAGCCAGATCATTTAATTTCACATTCATATATATTGTTCTTTCCATTAACAATCCAGACTTTTCTGATTGAATTCCATTAATATATCCCCCAGAACTAGAAATTAAAGGAAAAACAGACACGGCTTCCTCTGCCTCATTTTTAGACTTATACCTCGAATTTGACATGAGCGGTCATCTTAGTACCAGAATCTATGACAAACGAGACGATCTTAATTTTAAAATTATCAGTTTCTCCAACCTTAGTAGCAATATACCAACTTCTCCTGCATATGGGATATATATTTCCCAACTCATTCGATATTCAAGAGCTTACAGATGCTACTCAGACTTTGTAAACCGTCACCAGTGTCTGAACAGAAAGTTGATGAACCAGTGGTATGTCAAAGAACGTCTCGTCCTGTTCCCAAAAAATGTCATCGGAAGACCTTGTGGGTAAATATTCCTTTTCAACTTCACAAATGATAAACGATGATCTTTAAGTAAAGATTCTAAGTACTGACGTTGTTTGTCACCTTAATGACGTGTTATGGTACTCTTTTAATAGTCTTTGTAAATTATTACTTTAACTGTTTAGTCTATTTTTGGCCCAATCCATTTGACGTGGCTCGGTACTTATACATCCCGTCATTGTGTTATTGTGCTATGGTAAATTTTTGTATTCTTGTCTTTCGTTTTTGTTTATGTGCTTTGTCTATATGCCTTTTTGTTTTTCTTTGTTGAAATATTTGTTTTGTTTTTATAGTGACTAAGATCATAACACAATGTTGCCTGCTGTACCCTTATTTTTTGTCATTTTTACCTATTATGTCTGTTTGATTTGTTCACATATCGTTGTCAATATAATGGAATTTTATGCGACTGTCATACATGTGAGAGGTTAAGCTGGCTATAAAACCAGGTTTAATCCACCATTTTCTACAGAAAAAAATGTCTGTACCAAGTAAGGAATATGACAGTTGTTATCCATTCGTTTGATGTGTTTCAGTTTTTGATTTTGCCATTTGATTAGGGACTTTCCGTTTAGAATTTTCCTCGAAGTCCCGTATTTTTGTTATTTTGCTCTTTTAAACTATCTTTTGAGACAATAATTACAAAAACAAAAAGCGCTGCTTCTGTTTCACATTGATTATTTTCTCCGTATGTCCATGATTGACTCTGTCGATGATATCGTGAGCGGCATCACTTGTAAAATTTGTAAAAACGTCTACTTAACTAACCAAACGATATCAAGAGGACACAATAAGTCTTCAAACATCCACGAAACAAATAGTTAACAGTTAAAACTTATTTGTTTTATAAACTATTAGTAAAATTAAAATGAAAAAAAAAATACACAAAAGTTTAGAATTTAAATATATGCAAAATCACAATTCCGAATTAGAATGAAGCCGATTTAATGTCCACTTTTATCAATTAATATAACGAACGAATAAAAATGATTATGTTTTTGTAATATTGTATAATACATTGGTTTTCTCATTTAATTTTTTGTTTACATTTAATTTTGTCGGAACCTTTATAGCTTGCTAAAAGGTATGGATTTTGTTTTATTGTTGAAGGCCGTACGACGACATATAGTTGCTTGCATCTACGTCATTTTGGTCTCGGGTGGATAGTTATCTCATTGGCAATCAGACCGCATGTACTTAATATATACAATACTACATTGAATATGCGTATATATGTCCTTTTGTATTCCAAATAAAACTATTTAAAAAAGAGTATTTCAATATATATATAATGTCTGTTTATTTTGATCTTTACTCTTCCTTCATTCACGAATAGAATCACATAACTGAACCATGTTCAACATGAAATAAACCATGACACGAATGAACCAAACCATGACACCGAATATTCTGTAATCTCAAATTGTGTGCACTAGGGGCTGTTTTTCGGGAAAAATGACGGTAGTTTTATATCATAACAAAATATGTGGTGTAGCAGACAGTAAGCAAACCACTTTTCTTTGTGCATTAGAAACGAATCACAACTTTTAAATTTTGACATACGCACGCATTATTCTGTGTCAAATTAATAACTATATGATACAAATGTTGATGTACTAACATATTAGCTATAAACAAAGATACTTACCAGCTTGAATTTGTTGTTCCTTTAACAAACTATTCGAATGTTTATATTTTGACACTGTTTGTCATCAAAAACACTTAACACAACCATGTCCATCTTAACCAAACTATGACAAAATCACTGTACTAAACGCTTCTCGATATGACGAGGTTACTACCCGTGAGGTTACATAGCCAATACTGTATATAACATTGAAGACGAAACCTTTGATCTTAAGAATAACGAAGGAATTCTTGTTGGGGAAAAAACAGTGAAAGTAGACATAATATTTGACTGAAGAAATTGCAAATACATCAACTGTAAACTGCATAGAAAGATTCCGTTTTTATTTGTAGTCAAGATTTAAAATGATAACAACAGCGGACAAAAATCAGCTTTACATGTGTCTCAAGTGCAGATAGATTTATAGTTCATTAAGGAAAAGTAATAACATCTTTAGATATTTGAAAGAGATTTTGACTCTTATTAATGACAAATTCAGTACGTACAATATAGAGATTGATCGTGAAGAACGTACATGTACTTTAAATAATGCTTATATTAACAACGAAAGCTGCCCCTGCTGGATCTTGTTGTTCAGTGGTTGTCGTTTGTTGATGTGGTTCATATGTGTTTCTCGTTCTCGTTTCTTATATAGATTAGACCGTTTGTTTTCCTGTTGGAATTGTTGTTCACCAGTCAATTTGGGACCTTTTATAGCTAGCTGTTCTGTATAAGCTAAGGCTCCGTGTTGAAGGCCGTACTTTGACCTATGATTGTTGACTTTTGATACATTGTGACTTGGATGGAGAGTTGTCTCGTTAGGTTTCAAACCACATTTTCTAAATTTTGATAAACAGTCTGAAAAACCTATGGAACTTTTCGGACTGTCTGTATTAAATAACAATGGTACACAGCATTTTTAAAAACGGGATGTTGATTTTTTTAATATGATTCAGATATCATTTTTATAATCAGCAACCGTTTTATTTGAATTCGTCCAATTAAAGCAGCATCCACTAAGGAGTAGATAAATATCCTATGACCTGTTTATTTAAAAAGCAACTACACTGCAAAAACTATCCAGCGCGGAAATTATGCATGTCGGGTAAATCAAGTTATACTGCCATAAATATCGAAAAGGAAAAGGACAAATAAAATAAATATATAAATTATGAGAAAATTGATATGGTTCTTGAAGCCGTTTAATCTAACATTTGACATAAACTTATACATCATTGATAAATGAAATATAATTCTTGCTATTTTATTATATCATGAAACCAAGGAAGATTTTGTTGTACTTATTTTTTCTGGAGCTCGTTTCCCAAAACACTTGAGAGGATAACCTCGCGACAATTGTTTACAATCAATTAATTTTATAATTTCAGCTGTACTT